AATATGAATATTTAAATTACAATTCTGTAGAAATCCATACTAAACTAATGAACATGATTTAGATTTTTAGGATGGCACACATTTATAATAATAAGAGCTTTGGGGTTAAATTAAATTAAACATGTAAGTCTCAATTAAAAAAAATTGAAAAAAGTCTTAATATAGAGTTTGTTTTCTCCATTTTATATCGCTAGTGGGAAACCTAGAGGAGTGGCATATTTCATCGTTCTATGTTCTCTAGAGCACATCACAGTGGCAGGCACACATCAGACATTTCAAATGAACTCTCTGGATAAAACGGTTTTCTCCTCGAGTGCAGAGAACCCTTTAAATATTGTATCATCAAGCTTGTGTCTGCACTGGAATACCCTTTCTCTGCATCCCATCCCCATAGGGGACACTCTACCGATGTGAGCGCTTGTTACATTGCTATTGCATAAAACATGGATGATATTTATATAGTAGAGTTTGTGCTGGGAATTGCATGTATAGGATTGTCAGCGTGACATGGATTTTGTTTGGTTTCTGCCTTGTTTTTATTTTCAGAACGGATTAAAATGTGCGTGTTGCTTTCTCCCAGACTCAGTTTTTAGAGCTTACAGAGCTTTCTTAATTGTTTCTCAAAAACACAGTTTGGCAAGTGAAATAATTTGTACGCCACCTTACAGATTAAGTAATTAAAGGCATAGAAACAACAAGTGACTTTCCAAAATTCATGTTCCAAAAGAGTTCTGGAAAGGGGCTTATACAAAAGCCTGTCTGATTCCATTTTATTTTATTTACTTTGCCATTAAAAGGACTGAAAACTGATTTCCTAGAAATGAAGCATGAAAATAAAAACAATCATAACAATTACAGCAATGTTGCATTAAGTATTTCAGGGACATTGTCCAATTTTTGCCATAGCAAAATGCTTCTCACACACATGAATATGTTCACATTTTATAGGTAAAGTGATTGCCATTCAATGGGTAAAATATCAGCCCAAGAACTATGATAAACCATAAATAGAAACCCAAAGGAACTTGCCAATTCACTAATACAGATTTACCTAGTTTTATTATTGAGCAGAAAATACTAGAATGCATACAGTTAGGATACTTTGCAGTGTCTGTAAAGCTATAGTGGGTGTTCAGCTCTAATCATCTGAATGAAAGCTACAGTTTTTATACATCATCCTACTGTGAGTACATAGCAGCTATTTCAGTTTGCACCAGCGACGCCACTAAGCAAGGCCACACCAGTTCCAGAAGGCAGCCTGAGTAAGACAGAGGTGGGACGGTGAAGAGGTGATGGTTGAAACAGTCAGGTACCTAGTTGTTCTTTTTTTCCTGTCGTTCCTAAAGATGTAGTCTTTCCAGAATCCCCTCCCATAAAACAATTTGTGTCCTGATACACTAGTGTTGCTTCCAGACATGCTTGCTCAGAAAAGGAGCAGAGAGCTACTGACTCAGGGACAGTTAAGGCTGCTGATACCAACGATTAGAGCTAATAAAAGTCTTCTTGCCTCAGATTTCTAGAATAGATTGCCTTTGACTGCCCTTGAAAGATGGGTAAATACCTGGTTTAGAAATATAAGAATACATGAAAAAAACCAAGTACAATGGCTGAAATAGAAGAGATAATATTTATATAGTAACAATAGTAAGGCATGAGAAGTTAATCATAATTCTGGCTTTGTCAAGATAAGCTCTTTAAACTGTGTCAATATCGTTTTTTAATTTGCAAGATGGGAATTAAGACTAAAGATTTTCTTTTGGTATTAAAATAGTATAAAAATATCAAGTAAGGTCACTATTAGCTTGAGAAATCATTATTTCATAAATAGGCAAATAAGTCAGCATTTAACTAATTTTAATACAATGAATATATTTTCCATGTAAATTTGTTTAACATAATATATAGGCATCACATTGTCTTTCATTCTACGTAAGCAAAAATAGTAATCAATGTCAATATTAATTATTATAAGTGATGCTATTAACAGAAAATATTACTTTCAAGATGTTTTATGCATTTTTCAGTATGTTAAAATAGTGCAGTATTTTTATAACTTTTATTCAATATTTTATAATGTTTTCTGTATATTTAATGTATTTGTATGTATAGCTTTTTTCTGTATATTTAACGTAGTATTCAGTATATAGAAGATATTGCAAAGCTTAATTAACAAATTTTAAACATTGCTATACTTAAAGGAAGTGTTACTGAGAACATTATCCTCAATAATATATTATTCAGGTCTTGCCATAAATTATTTAGTTTTGCATGTTGTTTGTTTTTCATCTTTACAAAATTTACTATACTTGAATATTGTCTTCTGAGACATTTCTAAAAAATACATGTCAACATTTTCTTTCTAAAATTGATCTACATTATGGTTATGTTGTTATTCAATTATTTTCATTGTGGTATAAATATACCACAGTCATTGTATTTATTCAGCCATTGTTGGACATTTGTATTTTTCTGTTGTTTTTATTAATTGTACTAGTAGTACATGTGTTCGAGAGTTTTCCTGAAGGTATAAGCTAGAGAAATTGCTAGATCTTGGGCATGAGAATATAGAACTGTGCAAGGAAGGAAGGAAACACATGTGGATTACTTAATTTGTAAGCACCCCCATTGATCTCTATCAGATCTAATATTTGGAGAAATCTTGTCAAACTTCTTAATATTGTATCAATCTGGTTGGTGTTAAATGGTAACTTATTTAGATTAACTTGCATTTCTGTAAATACTAATGGTATTGAAAACTTTTTTAATTTGCCATTTATATTACTTTTTCTGTTAAATATTTATTATTATTTTTTTAAATTTATTAATATTTATTTATTAATTTTACCCATTATTATATTGTGCTCAGAATTGTTTTTCTTTTGATTTAATATATTGTGTTATATATTACAGATACAGATCCCTTGTCAGCAAATATCTTCACTCATTTTGTGACATATTTTCCCCTCTTTGTGACATATTTGGAAGAACTAAAAGAGTCGTATTTGAAAATAACCAAATTTATCAATGCTTCCTTTGTGTTTTGAAATCTTCATATACCTTAATATATTATATTAATATTTTTCCAACATATGTATAGTTTTGCCTCAGCTATTTAAGTCTTTAATTATTTCAAATGTATATTTGTGTATAGTGTAATGTGTGACCCATTTTATGAATGATGATGATGATGTAGAATAGATAACAAGTTTTACTGAAGCCATTTCTTGATCAATCCGTACTTTCCCCACTGATCTGCAGTAGCATCCTTACCATTAAATAAATTTTCATACATAGTGGATCTGTCACTGGCTCTGTTTTCTGCTTGTCTGTCCCTTTGACACTGTCACATTGTCTTAAATTCTAACAGCATATAACGAGACTTGATAAATGGTAAAGGAAGTATCCTTTTTTATGCTTCTTCATACAAATCTGGATAATCTTTGTATTTATAAATCTTAGAATTAGCTTTCAATTTCCTTGAACAATTCTCATTGGATTTGTATTAGATTACATTGAACATACTCATCAATTTGGGGAGGCTGGCCTTATTTATGATATTTTGTCTTCTAATCATATAGGTGATACAGCTCAATTTCTTCAGATCTTCTTTGCTGAAATTCAATAGTGTTCTACATATAACCCCTTCACCTACTGTGTTAGATTTAATTCTAGGTTTCTTTCCTTCTTTCCCTCCTTTCTTCCTTCCTTTAATGCTGAACTAAATGAGCATTTCTGGAACTGAATTGATGAAGATAGGTTATTTTACGCATCAGTGGATTGAGTTTGCTATTATTGTTTTAGGCTATTAATACATAATATCTTTCATAAGAGGGAGTGCCTGATATTGATATAAAAGTTTTACAGAGCACAGAAAACAAGTTGTAAAGTATTTTCTCCTTCCTCTGTTTTCTGGGGAAAGGATGCATAAGAATGAAATTAGCTTTTTAAGTAAAATCATCTGGGCCTGATTTTGGAAATATAATTTTTTAACTTAAATATTGATTTTCTTTAGTTGTAGTACTACTCAGGTTTTCCATTTCTTTTAGAGCCACCTATGACTTTTTAATCCATCAACTTTCTTACTATTTTCAGTATCTTCTGTATATGTATTTACACACCTTTTTTCTTAATATGGTTAGTTTTTGCCATCTTATGTTCTGCTTTGATCAATTAATAAATTTGTGTTGATTTTGTCTTTTTTACTAGGCTCTATTTCTGTATTAGTCTGTTCTTTTAATTTTGGATTTATTTAGATAGCGACAGGAACAACAGCAATAAGAGATCTAAATTTCCCATATGAACTCTGAACTTATAGCTTTAATGTGTAAAATAAACCAACCATTTGTCTTTTTGTTATATCTCAGAATTAATAAATTTACTTATAATATAGGAAGATTGAGTTTAAAATATTTTAAAGTATTAGGTATAATATTCTGATATCTACCAATTATGTGTGGATTCCATGCTAAGTTCCATTTTAAATTATTCTTTATTTTCCCTAAGTGTTACTTGATATCACACGCTGCATATATTCTCCCATAAGAAGGAAATGATCCTTGTGTAAAGAATTTTACTTTTCATTTTCTCCAAGTTTATTTAGATTTGAAACCTTGAACTTTTTAAAGATTATGTGATTGTATTTTACCAACCACTGTGCTTTTCTTAGATTAATGATGCCACCAATTGTTCATCCCTTAGACTCTGACAGCACACAATGAAATCTGACAACTTTCTCCCACTCCAGTTCCTGAATAACATGTAATTTCCTTGATATGACGAAAATATCATTTTAGCATTCATGTCATGCCTTGGTGTTCATTTTTCATTTTTCTGTAAGCTAATGAGTTTAGCAAAGATTGCCTTCATAAAGTTGTCTTTTGCCAAAAGTCCTGCTGTAGCATATGGAGCTAGTAACAAGCTGTAGTATTACGGAGATTTGTTTTAAACCAAGCCTCTAAAGTGTGCATGGAAATACTGAATACATCCTGTGTCTTTTGCAGACAACCCTGGTTTGCGGAGCCATGTCACAGTGGGCATTAGAGTTCTGGATGTCAATGACAATCCACCCCAACTTGCCAGGGAATATGATATTGTTGTCTGTGAAAGTTCTAAGCCTGGCCAGGTAAGTTAATTGTTGTCTTCCTCTTATTTGAATGGGAAACAAAAACAAAAACACAAACAGGCAGCTTTTATTTCTATTATTCTTAGACATTACCCTCAAAATCCCCCAGTGCTATTTTTGTTCTCAGTAAAAATAATTTTATGAAGCTTTATTTTCAGTACCAAATAGACTTTTTTTGACAACCATGGAAAATAAATTCTTTTCAGATCCCAAATGTAATTCAGAAACTAACTCAGCCATGCATGCATTCATCATACCAATAAAATTATATTGAATGTTTTGTGTGAAGCCCTATAGTAAATAAGGAGGAAACAGTGAACTTTCCTGTCCGAATGGAACTTTCAGCCTAGATTGGGGAGAAGAGACTGGTTCATCTATTTTGGAGGGCCTGAGGGAGTGACCTGAGTAATGACTGAGGGATACTAATACTAAAAGATGATTAAGTTTTAATAATGTGAGGAGTGCATTTGCATTAAGGCAGTGGGGAGAGTGAAGGGAGGAGAGAAAAGCTCGAAAATGAGACATGAGTCTCGGTGTGTCAAGGCAGCTAGTTGAAGGAGCAAGGAAAGTCTGAAGGAAGGTCTGTGCGGCTTAGGCACAAAGAACAAGAGGGCAGTTGGAAGGGGAAGTGCATTTCTCTTTGCTGTATAGCAAATTACACAAATTGAGTAGGTTAAAAAGACACTTACCATCTTGCAGTTTCCATAGTTCATGGCTTAGCTGTGTCTTTACAGAGGTCTCCGAAAACTCAAGATATCATTCGGGGCTGGGTTCTTAACTGGGGCTTGGGATCACTTCCGAGCTCACACGATTGTGGGCAGCATTCCTTTAGTTTCAGCTGTAGCTCTGAGAGCTTTAGGTGCTTCCTCAGCCCTTCAAAGATCCCCATAGTTCTGAGATGCCACCCACAGTTTCTTACCATATGGGTTTTCCCAATGTGGACTTCACCAAACAAGTAAGAAGTGTCTCTCTGGTAAGTGAGCTAGCAAAGAATTGTAATGCAATCAGGTGCATGATGTATCAATAGTTTTGCCATGTTCTATCGATCATCAGCAGCAAGACACAGGTTACATCCACACTGAAGAGGAAGTGCTTACGCCAAGTCACGCTTTCTACCTCAATGTCTGTCTGTCACAGATGATCCTCGAGATATAAAAATGGTCTAGGTCCAGCTAAGTCAGACAGTCCCTTTCACTGTCTGCTAAACCAGAAAGAAGACATTAATATTATCCAAAATCACTTTAAATCATTTTGAAGCTTGTGATGACATTATAATCCTAAGAAAATTTGTCTTGTATATTTGTGTATGAGAAATAATCAATAGTGGCTTGCTAGTGTAATAATTGCTTATGTGTTTTAAATACATCTAGGGGAGGTATTTATGTGTATATAAATGGAGGACTGTTTTTTACATAAAATTTTCTCATGTTCATTGTCCACAAGAAAAATAGAAAACATGAATAAGGGAAAAGTTGATGAAAATTATATATTTAAGTACTTACAGGTTATATGTTTTATTCTCTTAACAACATGTTAAGATAATCCCTTCAGGTACTTAAGAATTTTCCTATATCACCATTTTTAACACAGTAAAGAATTTTATGGTACAGATAGTTAATAGTTTACTTACCAAATCCTCTTTCAGATGTGTCAGAAATGGATGCAGACATCCCAAAATTATTTTCTTAAATTACATTACATAAGTACGTGTAATGAGGAGTGCAGAAAAAGAAGGGAGGAAGCACAGACTAGCAGGGGAACTAATTGATTTATTTAGCAATATTTAATCAATTTATTTAGCAATGTTTGCAATATCCAATCAATTGAATTAGCAGTATACCATAGCAAAAGACAAAGACAATCAAGACCATCCAAAGAAAGGCAATTACAAAAGGGGAAGACAGTTAAAACTAGGCTATACAATCAATTTGGCTAAATACACAAATGAAATCAATAAGGAACATCCAAATGGAGTAGCAAATTCTATTAGATGTTAACTAATAACAGCATATGCCAAAAGCTCACCAAAACCATGAGGAAGCCACACTGGAGAGGTCGGGACCCAGCCAGACCTCACCAGGTCCACGGCTGGAAGTCAGAGCATCTCCTGTGGCTGCAAGCTGCAAGCTGCAAGCTGCATACAAGCTCCCAGTGCCAATGCTAGAATGATGACAACTCACCAACAAAAGAACTCTCTATTGTCCATTGAGGCAAGTTTCAGTCTCTTATTCTGAAATAATCCAATCCTGAAAAGCAGTCCTGAAACAGTAAATCTCCTGAAACAACAATCCAACAGCAAAAAATAATTATAATAATGCCACCTGAGGTCTGTCTTATACATCCTTTAGATGCACCCCAGAGCCAAGTTTTTGTTCCTGCCTCCCCTCTCAGTTCTCAGAGGGTTCAGCAGTTAATGATAAGAATGTCGCCTATCCAGCTAATGAAAAAAATACCTATTGTTCTCACCTGGGACCATCTGTCCAAAGCCTTCCAAAGCTTGGCAATGTGCCTGTCACGTCATCCTGATAGAACATAGCTGCTTCTTCACTTCATCTGCTGATGCTGGCGAAACAGACCGAAAGCAACATCATCTCATATCCCCCGTGCTGGGAATGAGACAAGGGGAAATTCTCTCAACCCCTAACCAACAATTGTCTTAACCCTAAGCTAACTGTCACCCCATCTGCATTCTCTCATGTGATAGAACAAAAAGCCAACAAAGTTAACATTAACCAATGAAGACTAATTTTCTTAACATCTTTCCCACAGTACAATTGATGAAAAAACATGTTAATAATTCAAATAAAAACTTTAGATTATTAAAAATACAGCAACTGAATATGGGATATCAATTCTTTGTAGTGATAGCAGATTAGATATAGCTAAAGAGAAAATAAGTGAATTGGACAATAGGTCAGAATAAAATTGAAACATGGAAAAACAAATAGAAAGTATAAATACAAATATGAAAGGCACATGGAAGATGACAGTCTAACATACAAGTTATTCAATTCTCAAAGGGTATTAGAGAAGAGAATTTGGCAGCAGTAATATTTGAGGAGATCATGTTTGATTATTTTTTTTTCCTACTGATGGTAAGCATCAAGTCAGATATTTAAGAATCATGGAAAATACAAAAACAAAAAACAAAGTGACTGAATACAAAAGATGACTTCACCTAGATGCCTTGAAATAAAATTACAGAACTAAAATCAGATGATTAAAATAGCAACAAAAAAAACCACTTTTTGACATGAAAAGCATGGTCCATAAAAAAAATAGTAAATTAAACTTGATCAAAAACAAATATTTTTGCTTTATGAAAGACCCTCTTAAGGAGATAAGAAGACAAACCACAAAGTGGGAGAAGGTGTTTGCAAACTCAAATCATATATCAAATAAAAGATTAATATCAAGAATATAAAAAAGAATACTCAATTCTCAACATCAAAAAAGAAAAAAAAATCCAATTTAAAAATTGGCAAAAGACATGAGCTGACATGGCATTGGGAGATCATAAGTAAGGAAGGAGACAAATGAAGTTAAAATATTAGAACTTTAATTTTTGGGACTTAGATAAACTCTTAATTTATAATAGATTCAATGTCTTAAGAATACATGATGCAATCTTTAGTTTAATGAAACTTATACAAGACCATGCAACTAATTAGCTAATAAAAATTGGAATCCAAGTACTGATTATCAGGCCTTAAATTAGCATTGCCTCTTAATGACTGCATTGTTATAGGACAAAAATTTTTTTTGAAATTTAAATGACATTGAATATTTAAATATTGGGTTGTCAGAAAAGTCATGATGTATTTTTTCTATGATTTTTTTTTGCAGAAATGCGTCATGACTTTTCTGACAACCCAATAGTAGCACATTGGTCACTTACAGACATTCAGATGTATTTACTGACAAATGACTTTTGTTAATTATCAGCTAAAGTAGAAACCTTTGGCAATAGTATTCTGGTTTGTAATTCACTTAGTCACCAGAATTGAAAATGTATAATTCACTATAAAGAAAATTTATTTTTATAAAATAAATTTAATAACATTACATTAGTATTCTATTAATAAAATTTATAAAATAAAAAAGTACCACTTAATCCTAAAGAAGTTGGGGTTTAAAGTTCTATTTCTTTAATTTGCTTACTTTAATTGTGTGTTATCAAAATATTCTTTTACTTTAAAATAATTTACACAAAATTATTGTGTGTGATTTTTATCCTACTGTATTATCATTTATGGCACAAAAACAAAGGGAATAAAAAATGTTTTATATAGGACCTACCATCAAGGATTCTAGACTGCACATTTCAAACTAAAATATAATCCTGGTAACATATGAAATTTATAATCAATAGTTCCAAAATAATCCAGAAAGCTGTATGAAGTTTTAAAGTTTAAAATTAGAATGACAAAGTTATGCATTTGCTTTTGAGATAGTTTTTTCTAGCAACACAAAATAGGCATAATAACAGATAAAAATTTGAGCACATAAAATTTTATTATCTAGGTAGAGGCCACAGTATTTTTTTAAATCAATAAATAATATAAAAGTAAATATAAAAAGTGGTAAAATAGCAAGGGAATAAAAAGAATGTAAATTTAAAGAAGTACATATTAATATTTATGTTAAAATAACCTAAATACTGAAATTGAAAGAAGCCTATTGTCAAAATAAATTTAAAAATTAGTCAATTAAATGTTTATAAGAGGCATATCACAAATATAATTTTAAAAAAAGTTTGAAAGAAACATTTGGAAAAACTATACCAAACAATTACTTAAATAATTAATCTACATAAAGTCACCCAACTACAGTCACATAGAAACTTTATCAAAGGGAACATTACTAGCTCTAAACAGGCCCATGAACTGTGGTAAAAAACAGCATGCCAGGTAGAATTTACAATTTTAAATTTACATGTACTTATTAACATCGTCTCAAAATGCACAAAGCAAAAATAGATGGAAATATAAAGAAAAATA